GATGCCTTCGAAGCAAGTGCAGAGAACAACTCCTTATGACAAGGAATCAACAGCTCCGAGATCAGAGTTGAGATCCAAAGTATTCCTAAAATTCGTCCCAGTCAACCGCGAACTTTCGGAAACTTTGGAGGGGGTTCTGTAGGCTGTCTAAAAATCACTGCAGATAGCTGATCCCCATCAAACACCGATGATGGAAGTTACAATCTGACGACTTCCAGAAGGCTACAATTTGAAGACTTTCACGTAGATCGCTGAAGGTTACAATCTGACGACCTTCACGACAACTGATGGAAGCTCTAATCAAACAGCCTTCATAATCAACATCGGGAGTTACAATCTGACGACTCTCACATATCAGAGAGCTAAAGTAAAGATTACAAAATGACGATCTTTGCAAAACTTCGATAGAAAGAGACTACAAATCGACGGTCTCTTCAAACCAAGACGTGTAAGTCCTCCCCGCGAACCAGCATCAAGACGCACCATGTTCATAGCCACGAACGCAGCTCAAGCGCAGCCTCCAAAGCTGCCAACGCAGCTTCTATTCGCTGCCAAACGCAGCTCTTAAATCCTGCCAACGCAGCTTCCAACCGCTGCCCAACGCAGCTCCCAACCCCTGCCCAACGCAGCTCAAATCATTGCCAAACGCAGCTCAAACCGCTGCCAAACGCAGCTCTAATCGTTGTCCAACGCAGCTCCCAACCGCTGCCAAACGTAGCTCAAATCGCTGCCAAACGCAGCTCAAATCGCTGCCAAACGCAGCTTCCAACAAGATGCCAACGCAGCTTCCAGCCGCTGCGTCCGAGCTTTCAGACACTGCGTTCAAGCTTCCAGACACTGCGTTTGAACGCAGAATTTACATCAGAACGCGGATTTTGCGTTTGACTCGTTCAAACACGAGCTGAACAGTTTCAAAACCGTTTCCCACGATCTGAGAAGATCACAACTCCACTCAGGAGTGATTTAAGGGGCGGTTACATCCCATTAGCCCCACCGAGGAGCGAATTAAGGAGGTGGTTACACCCCTTAATCCCCTATAAATAACTGAAAATCAATTCAGTTCAGGATTCGGTCTGTTGGAACTTCTTGGCAGCAACAGAGACTGAATCTTTGGGGCGGGGTCGGTTGGAACTTCTTGGCTCGTCAACAGGATCCTTAGAGCATTTCTGGAGCTTGGGAGATCTGCAACAAGAGCTTCTTCATCCTTGGCTTATAACCGACTTTCGGTTAAATCAACACTTTCATAGAGTTTTAAACTCGTTCAGAGTTCTCCACAATGTCAAATCGTGAGGAGAAGATCATGTTCCAGTAAAACAAGACGTCGGATCGTCAACGAGAAGCAAACTCGACGCGAGCATTCGAGGGAGGCATCTCATCGCTACCGTGAAGAACCCAGAATTAAACAAAGGGGAGAATCCAGATCATTCTTCTCTCTTTTGTAATCAGGAAATCTAATTGTAACTGAGATTAAAGGAATACAAATCAAATTTTCCTTCATTGTCTTTTTACTGCAAATTTTCCCACAAACAGTGGCCAATAGAAGCAAAAGAGAAATGTAAAAAACCCTAGCCCTAGAACCCAACTATTTATATGGGTATCATTTGTAAAAAATATATTTACATAAGAAATATTTGCAATAAGTTCTATTAATAGGACTACCAAATCAAACAGTTAATGAACTTTCGAACATACATTTGGTTAAATTCTATTAAAAACTTTATCAAATTAAATAATTAATGAACTACCGAATCAAACATACCTTCAGTTAAATTCTATTCATTTATAAACCAGATACTAAAAATTATTTGTTTAAACTAAATGAACTATCGATTTGAACTTGATCTAATATATAAACAAATAATAACCAAATATTTATAACCAACTATACTTAATTTATAACAGAATATTAAAATTATTTATAGCAGAATACTTAATTTTAGTAACATGTTCAATATTTGTAAAATATATATTAAAAACCGTGCTTTGCACGGGTCTAAATACTAGTGTTATTAAATTTAACTGAGCAGAGGTTAATTACATCTAAGAGCTAAGTAGATTTTAAACATAACTAGAAAGCAACTAAACATAATAAGAGTTTGAGATACTATATATTTATCTTAAATTTCTGTCTAGATTTATTATCCCTCCGAATCTTTACGATCTAGGATTATATACATGAATTTCCAGAAAGTAAAAATCTTGTTAGGAAACTGTTAAATCACGTTAACGAGTTGGGTTACCGGGTTATCAGATTCCGCATTCGTTCCCGCTTAATATCTTTCAAAGCTCTACTTCAGCAATTGATACGTGACGGTGACATCAATGGCTGGGATTGCTCCATTGGGCATTCTTGAGGATCTGGAGGACGGACACGTAGTCGTCCTTTCAACGGCGGGAATCCAGTAGAAACTATCGTCGCGTCGGGAACTTGATGTCGTGGGCCCCACATCGGGCTTTAAAGTCACATAGCATGTGGCTCATTGCAAGCTCAAGCTGGATGTTCACAGCAGGTTCGAGCCGATGAGGATGTCATGCGCTCCTAACTTCACACACAACCGGACGAGGATCTCATCCGAGCTCACGTCGAAGGTGAACAAGGAAGGGGGAGAGGAAGAAGAGGGAGAGGGAGAAGGAGAGGGAGAGGGAAGGGAGTTATAAATATTTGTTAAGTTTTGATATTTGTTAAGTTTTGATATACTTGATAGAATGTTTGCGTTTGAAACTGAATGATACGTATCCAATTGAGTATGGATTATTAGTAAGTGAATTGCACGTTATGTATTCGATTGATTATGGATTTTTAGTAAGTGAAATGAATGTTTGCGATTATGATTTAGCATGTGTGTTATTTGTGTTTGTGATTACATTGTGGATTGATAAATGTGTACCAAGAGTTGATGGATTGATATGTATTAACAGGAGTATGATTTTTCAGCTGAATGTGGGCTGGAAGATCTCTGCAAAATAGTCAGAGTTGGGAGCCTTGACTATTTTGTGCATAGCGTGCACGAAATGGTCGGGGTTTCCAACCCGACTATTTTGTATTTGCCTATTCCCGACCCTTTTGAAACTTAGCAAAATTCTCTGCTAAATGGTCGGGGTTGGGAACGCCGACCATTTCGAAAGTCGAAATGGTTGGTGTTCCCAACCCCGACCATTTTAACATTTTAAACGTGGGCTAAATTAGTCAGGATTTCAAACTCCGACTAATTTTGCTGGCAAATTGCAACTAGGGTCTAAATTAGTCGGGGTTAGCAATCCCGACTAATTAGGAAGACGTATAAAAAGATAGACCCACTTTCTGACCATTGTGCTGACGTAACCAGAAAGTGAGTCTATTTCTGTAATAAAAACAAAAGAGGATCGATTTTTTTAAAAAAAAATTGGTTTGAGGCTATTTTGAAATTTTCTTCATTTTCTTATTATTTTATGGATCCACTGTTTGGCTTAGAACAACGAATAGCTAATTTAGAGGCCTACTAACTCAAAAACTAGAACGTTTATGTATTTTTCTAGGGGGTTAGTCACCTAGAAGTTAAAAATGGAACTGGGATAATCTGTAGGATAAATTTTTAAGGTGTTAGTCACATAGAATTAGAAAGCAGAATATATTTTTTAGTGTTAGTCAAGTAGAACTTTTCTAAAACTAGAACTGTGATATTTTTTTTGGTGTGTTAGTCAAGTAGAATTCTACTAGAACTAGAATTGAGATAATTTATCATAATTATCCCACTAATTATGCTACATATATATATATGTAGCCATCAGTTCACCTCTCTCAAATTATCCTACAGATTGATAAAGAATCAATTGGGAAAAAAGTGGAACTGCAATCTTTTGTAGAACATCGCTTCTCCTCGGTTCATAGGTATTTCCGATCTCTCTCTCTCTCTCTTTATTAAAACTTAAAAAGCCGATACTGTGATCAAAAAAGTGATTCCTTTTTTAATTAGGACATCATACACGACCTTCTATGATTAGGGTTTATATGAAATTAGGGTTTATATGAGCATTTGATGCATGTAATTAGTTTGTTAATATATGTTTAACCTAACCTAATTAAGTGTCTCTTACTATTTATACATTATATATTCATGCATGACGTTATATGATGAATTTTCGATTGTGATAATTATTTTAATTATAGACTTCAAATATTTTTTTATACTTATCTAATATATAGCAAGCTGTTTATTTGGAATACTATGCCCATGCTATATGATGCACTCTACTGTAGGAATGCCAAAATGGTTACTACTAACTTATGGATTAAGTTTTTTACTTTTTGGCTGATACTTACTTTTTGTACATGCTCTGTGATTGTCATATATTAGTAAATTATAAGTTCCCTAATACATGTTCATTTACAGTGATCTTTTTTGATAAAATGAATTATACACATTTATAATATTATCAGTCCCCTTGTGTGCAAATAATAGAGTGCTTTATTTATTTCCTATGCACATAAGTTTCATGTAAATTGATTTTATCTCATTGGTTATATTAATTAATAGGATGGAGGAAGATCAAAATTTGCCCATTTTATATTTTCATCATGAGGACTTCGATGATAATCTTTTGATTTGCATAATCGGATTAGCTGTTGAGGCTGCATATTTGATCACAAAGATATCAGGACTTCTATCACAGAAGTTCATAGCAAATACGTTTAGTTTCCGATGTCCTCGACGTGGTATTACAAATCTTGGTCTCACATACTTACAGTCCAAGATGGATAATCATCAAAAAGATTTTCGTAGGATTTACCGCATGTACCCAGATTGCTTCATGAAGTTATACAATATCTTGAGAGAGCAGTGCCATATACACAAGACACATACCACATTAGTGTTGATGAGATGATTGCTTTTTTTCTTCTCACGGTTAGTCAGAATCAACGATACTCTGATGCAACTGATAGATTTGATCGTTCAAAATGGACTATCAGTGTATGTTTCAATTAAGTATTATATACCCTAGTATCTTTAGCATCATGCTTGATGGCATCACCTCCTACTGATTCACCTGATAAGGTTAAATCAGAATCTCGCTTTTGGCCTTATTTCAAGGTAATTCTTATTCCTCAAGATTTTACACACACGCATACGCACACACGCATGCGCACCCACACACACATCAAATGAGATGGTCTGACACATTTATTATTCAGGATTGTATCGGTGCAATAGATGTGACTCATATTCTGTGTGTGGTGTATAACATAGATCAGATGCCCTATCAAAATAGACATGGTTTTCTCTCTCAGAACGTCTTGGCATATTGCACATTTGATCTCAAATTTATTTATATCTTAGTTGGGTGAGAGGGCTCTGCTAATGATGCAAGAGTCTTGAAGGATGCGATGAGTAGACCTTATGGACTTCCACTTCCACAGAGTAATAATCTTTACATAGTATTCTATCAATTACATAATACTTTTAGTTTTATAATATTTTTTCTCATTCATATTTTTATGGGATTTTTTTGAAAAAAACCTATTTTGCTAAATAATTAGTAAAATCGACCGTTTTACTAATTATTTAGCAAAACCGACCTCTTTTTGGCCAACAGGCCAAAAAGATGTCGATTTTGCTAAATTGGGTGTTCGAACACATACCGGACTACTAGTCCTGTATGTTTAGGGCTCTACTAATTAATCACTAAACCTAAACTACAAAACCCACGGGACTACGGGTCCCGTGGGTTTTGTTATAAGGGGCTGTTTGGTTCGTTTTTTAACTCGGTGGAAAAGTTTTACACCGCCTCCACATCAGATTTTTCGTGGCCACGTAGGATATAAGCTTTCCGTCGGTTTTTTTCCATCTTTGGTTCGCTAAGGTTGAAGAAGGGAAACTCGGTGAAAATCGTCGCCACATCAGATTTTTTTTCTCCCCCAATTCCTTTCTCAACCTCGTGAAATCGACGAAAACTGCAGCCACATCGGCTTTTTGCCATATAAACAAAAGTTTTCCCTTTTTTTCCAGCGAACCAAACACAAGAAAAATAAATACATTGGTTTCCCATCATTTTTTTCCGAACCAAAGCGAAACAATTTATTTCTTAGAAAAGTTTGGAAAACTCAAAACTTGTATTTTTACACATGAAAATGTATTCCCCTATATCTAGCAAATTAACCAAACAGCCCCTAAATCCAAAATTGAATCAGCAGCAGAAATCGAAGTTAAAAAAAACCAGTATCGAACTCTAACCCCACATCCAATGGCGGAAGGGGACTCCTTTCGCTCCATCTTCGTCGACACCAACTTCGATACCCATCTCGCCGTTGCCTTTTCTCCCGACGACACAGTCGCCGATCTCAAAGGTTAGGGCTCTAAACCGCTGGTTTTTTGTTGTAATTCGTTCAAAAATCATATGGGTTCTCTCCGATTTCTTCGCTATGGCATTCTCTCGAGTGGGTTGTGTTCAAAATTCCATCTTGATTTGGTGCTTGTGTCTCAAATTGGGTTTCTCTCTCTCTCTCTCTCTCTCTCTCTCTCTCTCTCTCTCTTGAATAGCATTTTGGTCTTTTTTAAAGTTCATTTGAGCACTCTTTTTGAGTTGAGAGGCAGAAAATGGCAGCAATTATTTGGTCATGCAGACTTGTTCCTGTGATTCAGTTGAGTGCCATTGTTTTATCTGTATTGAGAATTAGTTGAGGGTGTTTATAGTAAATATAATCCTAAAGAAATGAAAACACTAGCCTATGTAAATATAATGCTAAAGAACAATCACATGAAAGTGTTATGAGAAATCCCCAGGATAAACTAATATCAATCACATGAAAGCACGGAAAATATCAAGAATACACAAACATAAAGACATACGTGATTCGGCTTGTAGCCTACGTCTACGGGCGAAGGAGGAGAATAGCTTTACTAAATTGTGAGGAATACAAAGTGGATCTCTCAATCACTAATCCCAAATAACACCCTAATAATGTCAATCAATCTCTCTCACAATCTCTAATTAATTAGAGCAACAAATAGAAAGCTTTATTTAACTACAGCCGTAACAAAGAACTCCCTGTTCTTTTTCTTGGTGCTGCATCCTCTCTCGGGAAAGAACTTTTGTCTATTCTTATACTGCCTAGTCTCGGTTCGTATTTGGGACTTTCATCAAATAACAATTCCTATCTCCTTGACCTTATCTTCAAACTAATGAGAGCAACTAACTCCTATTTGAAATATGCTAAGCTACCTTATCACCAAATGACCCAACTTATAAGAACTATGTTCTTATACAACAGTTAGGAGATTAAATCCTACTGCACGTAGCTCTCCGTCAAAACAATACCAAGCCAAAGATTATTGGTATTGAGTTCGATTCGGTTTGAATTTGTGTATCAGTATTTGAGTGATACTAACAAATCTCCACCTTGACTCAAATACGTAGGAAATTCCTCACTCCAAAATAAGTTAACTTATCCCACCTCCAATAGCCCCGCAGGGCATCTAAGTGCGGCACATATGGATCAAGTCCAAGCGCCGCTTGAACTTGCCAACTGAAAGATACCTCCTCAACAAATCATCTGAATTGTCTGCACGACCATAACTCTTATCAAAGTCATCACCTGAAGTTGTTCGTGAATAGTTAAAGGGCATAAAATTATCAACCGACAATGCGTAAGCTATCGTATCTTCATATCTTCGCGGTGGGTGAATATCACGTCTAGATCGGTCTCTAGCAATGGTGTATTCCCACTCTTCCTGCAGCTACTGAGGTGATTCATCTACTTGAACGGGATCTGGCTGCTAAACTCTTGTAGTTTTATCCTGTTGAAGAGCTGAATCACGAATTTTTAACTCCACATTATATCTTGTAGTGCGCGCCTTATCATCAATTGAAACCGATTGACTTTTTTTTGGTGGAATATAGCAAACTCATCAAAAGTAACATTACGACTAATAATAATCTTAGGAGAATTCGGATCAGGATCACAACCTAAATCTCCACCTTGACTCAAATACGTAGGAAATTCCTCACTCCAAAATAAGTTAACTTATCCCACCTCCAATAGCCCCGCAGGGCATCTAAGTGCGGCACATATGGATCAAGTCCAAGCGCCGCTTGAACTTGCCAACTGAAAGATACCTCCTCAACAAATCATCTGAATTGTCTGCACGACCATAACTCTTATCAAAGTCATCACCTGAAGTTGTTCGTGAATAGTTAAAGGGCATAAAATTATCAACCGACAATGCGTAAGCTATCGTATCTTCATATCTTCGCGGTGGGTGAATATCATGTCTAGATCGGTCTCTAGCAATGGTGTATTCCCACTCTTCCTGCAGCTACTGAGGTGATTCATCTACTTGAACGGGATCTGGCTGCTAAACTCTTGTAGTTTTATCCTGTTGAAGAGCTGAATCACGAATTTTTAACTCCACATTATATCTTGTAGTGCGCGCCTTATCATCAATTGAAACCGATTGACTTTTTTTTGGTGGAATATAGCAAACTCATCAAAAGTAACATTACGACTAATAATAATCTTAGGAGAATTCGGATCAGGATCACAACCTAAAACCTTTAACACCCAATGCATAACATAGGAATATGCACTTCTTCTCTCGCGGCTCAAGTTTCCCTTGACTAATATGCACATATGTAGGGCAACCAAATATTTTGAGATTAGAATAATCCGCAGGTTTACCGGACCAAACCTCCTCTAGAGTTTACAAGCAATAGCAGTAGACGATGACCGATTCACTAAGTAACAAGTCGTATTCACCACTTCTGCCTATTCCTTACCTAAACCTGCATTGAACAACATACAATGAGCTTTCTCCAATAGGGTTTTGGTCATATGTTCTCCTACTCCATTCTGTTACGACGTGTGAGGGACTGTACTATGTCTAACGATTCCCTTCTTTTTGCAGAACTTATTAAATTCTCATTCACAAAACTCAAGGCTATTATCAGTTCTAAGCCTTTTAATCAGCCTTCCAGTCTGCTTCTCAATCAAAGACTTCCACTGCTTAAAAGTCAAATACACCTCATATTTATGTCTCAAAAAATAGGTCCAAACCTTCCTCGAGTAGTCATCAATGAAGGTCAACAAATATCTCGAACTACCATCCTTCGATGTAACTTGAGAAGGTTCCCAAAGATTTGAATGGATATAATCTTATTACTTTTAGTTTGATGCACTGTCGTACCGAAGCTAACTCTTTTCTGCTTCCCAAAGTTACAATGCTTGTAGAATCCTAATTTTTCTAAACTCTGTCATCGTAAAAGACTCTTCTTGCTCAACTCGGTCAGTCCGCGCCCACTTATATGACTAAGTCTCATATGCTATAATCTGGTAGTATCAGGTCCTAATATCAACGATGCACCTGCAGGCGAACTAGTAACGATAGAACCCTGCAAAACATACAAGCCGCCGATCTTCTTTTCTTTCATAACTACAAGAGAGCCTTTTGTAACACTAAGAACTCCACCTTCACCTAAAAAATTACACCCAAGTCTATCAAGAGTGCTTGAAGAGACGTGATTCTTCCTTAAACCTGGAAAATGCCTAACATCAGTCAAAGTCCTAATACATTATGCATCTTAACCTGAATTTTACCTTTTCGAACAGTCCTGCATGAGGTATTGTTCCCCATAAGAACAACTCCACCATCAATGACTTTATAAGTGGTGAACCAGTCCTGATTAGAACACATATGATAGAAACAAACCGAATTTAAAATCTAATCATCCATGATTCTTTTTATATCATCTGTAGCCAATAAAATCACATCTTCAATAATATCAACTTCAGCGGAGTCCTCCTTTGATTTTTCTTCATACTCTTCTTATTTATTCTTGTTCTTCAATCTGTAATAATCGGTCTTGATGTGTCCTTTTTTCTTGCAATATCTGCAGATTAGATTCCTGTATTTCAACTTATATCTGGAACAAACAAGCCATCAGCTTTATCATCACTTTCTATTATGGTTAACTCTTTGTCAATCTTCTCTTTATTCAACAAGTTCTCCTTGATGTCCTTGATGCTAATAGAATCTCGACCGTAAATCATATTATCCTTAAAGTACTTGTAGGAAGGCGACAAAGAGCACAATAATAATAAGGCTTGATCTTCATCATTGATTTTAACATCAATCTTACTCAAATCTGTAATCCTAGAATTAAATTCACCAATATGAGATTTGATGGGTGCATCCGAAGTGTGTACAAACACTACTTCAAGAGGAGGCGATCAGTGAGCGACTTCGTCAAATAAAAATCCTCCAACTTAGACTACAAATCAGTGGCAGTCTTCTCCGTGAGAACTTCTTACAAAATTTTGTTTGTCAAACATAACTAGATCACTTTGAGAGATCTATCATCCAACTTGTTCCAATCTTCCTTCGTCGTAGTAGCCGGTTTCTTCAACTTCCCGAACAAAGCCTTATTCACTCCACTCTGTATTAACACGGTGATCATCCTAACTCGCCAAAAACTGAGATATTGTTGTTAAACTTCTTGATATCCTACGTCATAGCGGTTGTCATCATCTTCTCGTCCGATCGATAGCTGAGGGCTCTGATACCAATTTGTTATGAGAAATCCCCAGGATAAGCTAATATGAATCACATGATAGCATGAAAAATATCAAGAACACATGAACATAAAGACATACGTGGTTTAGCTTGTAGCCTACGTCCACAAGCAAAGGAGTATAACTTTACTAAATTGTGAGGAACACAGTGGATCTCTCAATCACTCAATCCCAAATAACACCCCAGTAGCGTCAATCAATCTCTTTCACAATCTCTAATTAATTAGAGCAACAAATAGAAAGATTTATTTAACTACAGACATAACAAAGAACTCCCTGTTCTTTTTCTTGGTGCTGCATCCTCTCTCGGGAAAGAACTTTGGTCTATTCTTATTCTGCCTAGTCTCGGTTGGTATTTGGGACTTTCATCAAATAACAATTCCTATCTCCTTGACCTTATCTTCGGTATTTGGGACTTTCATCAAATAACAATTCCTATCTCCTTGACCTTATCTTCAAACTAATGAGAGCAACTAACTCCTATTTGAAATATGCTTAACAATTCCTATCTCCTTGACCTTATCTTCAAACTAATGAGAGCAACTAACTCCTATTTGAAATATGCTTAGCTACCTTATCACCAAATGACCCAACTAATAAGAACTATGTTCTTATCCAACAGTTAGGAGATTAAATCCTACTGCACGTAGCTCTCCATCAAAACAAGACCAAGGCAAAGATTATCGGTGCTGAGTTCAATTCGGTTTGAATTTGTGTATCAATATTTGAATCATACCAACAAAAAGTTTTTGTAATAATGAGATATTTTTCTTTAGGTT